TATTATTGTGAAGCTAGGGTGGGGCAGTGGAGCAGTGAAGAAGAAAAATAATATAAAAGATTTTGTGTAAAGGTACAAATCTGCCAAAATGAAATCCATTCATTCCTAAGACCAAAAATGTGTGTTGTGTGTGTGTGTGTGTGTGGTGAAATGAAGTGCTGGGCAGATTACGTGTCCTGGCACTCCAGCTGGCACAAGGAGCCCAAGGGAGCAGAGAACTTCCCAGCTCTTGCCACAAGGGATCAGAGAGAGCTCCCAGAAGCCCACTGGACACCATTTGATTTGTAGCTGCTGCCTGCTTCTTGGGTTCTGCGCTCTCGGCTCAACATGACATCCTCTGGTTGACGGTTGGGCAATGGAGTACTTCTGTTCTCAGCTCAACATGACATCCTCTGGTTGACGGTTGGGCAATGGAGCACTCCTGCTCAAAGTTCTTGATGTAATTGAGATAAGGTTCCTGCAGACTTGCACAACTTTAGGATGCGGCAGAAAGAGCCTTGCCCAGCTCAACCTGGGAGCTTTTTCTTCACTTGACAAAACAGCTCTGCGTTGAGTTTAGAAGCTGGAGACTTGGGTCAGTTCCAACCTTAGAGGTGCCAAACAAGTCCCTGAAAAGTCTCCCTTCTCCTCCTTCCATCCAGACATGTATCCTGACATCTTTAATTTGTCCCTCATCTAGTAAACAAGGTCTTGGTAACACATAAACATGATTTATGGAAACAAATCTTTCCCCAAATCTGTGGAGAAGCAGCATCACATGGCTGTAAGCAAAGGCAAAAGATCTCCATTAACAGGACCCACGTCCGCCTAGGGCCAGAGGCAATTTGAGTCTCGGCCAGTCTCTGCCTCACAGAAAGCATGTGCTAGGTTGATAATGCAACTGTGGCAGATCTTTCCTCCATCCTGCCTGGTGCTAAACCTCCTGCCTCATGCAGTCTCCTAAGCGTGGGAAAAGATGGGCCGTGCTTTCACTCGTGAGTCACAGATGAGTAAGTAACATAGAGCTGGAGTAAGATGGGGCGGGAGAGAACAGGAAAGTGGTGATGGTGGGTAGGGTCCACACAGAAGGACAAACTACACTAAGAAAGATTCAGAACAAAACCTTGCCCAATGCATCCAACTGGGGAGTCTCCATGGACCCAATTGCCCAGATTATTGTTAATTCTCCAACTGTGCTTTTTCTGTGTGGATACCACCTGTCCACCACAGAGATCAACCAATAGACACAGTAGTCAGGAAATGTTTGAGGTGGGATGAGGACAGAAGGGAGAGGCAATACCGCAGTGAGCCCCAGTAGAAAAGAATACTCTGTGTGTAACGCTGCCAAGGCCCTGGTGGCAACAGGCCCTGCACTGTTGCGGGGATTCCTCAAGGGCAGACTCTGCCAAGATAATAATTAGAGATCTTTCCCTTCTCCCTCAAATAGGTGTGACATACAGAAGGGATCATGGAGGAATCAAGACACCAGCCAGTGGGACTGCTTGTAGAGCTCTATTTGATTGAGAAACACACAGTCAGTCTCTCTATCTGCCTCCCTCGAGTCTTGGGCTACTTACCCAGCCTGCTACAGCAGAGTTCAGATGCAGGTCAGCTCCGTACCCGATGATCCTGAGGACAGAGACAGAGGCAGGTCCTGAGCCTGATGATGAAGGTGTTCCTGCCACAAGGAAGCAGGAGCCAAGAGCACTTGTCCCACAGGCACCAAAAAGCAAGTTCGCAAGGCTCTGGGGTGCACCAATACTGCCTTAACCCCATGCGCCCGTGGGCCTTGGCACACTGCTCCTGCACCTGCTTCCCACAGGGAAGCAGCAACGAAGGGAAAGGTGTAAGGTGGGAAGAATTTTTCCCCAATACTTTCAGGGAAGAACTCTTAATTTTTGCGTTACTCCCAAATAGACATGTGAAAATTTGAACATATAAGGTGATGGTATTAGAAGGGGCCTTTGCAGGAGATTGAATGATGCAGTGCAGTCTTCAAAGAATGAGATTAGATGCCTGCTTACACAAGCCTACAGACCGGGTTGGATCTCTGACATCACAGGCTGCAACAGTCCTGCCCCCAGGTGCACTGAGCCAGGCCATTGGGACCAGGCGTGGAGGCACACACCTGTAATCCCAGTGCTGGGGAGGCTGAAAATAGGAGGATCACTACAAGTCTGAGCTGTGTAGTAAGACCCTGTACCAAATACATGAAGAATAAGACTAGAGGGGCTGGAGAAAAGCTTTGTAGTCTGAGCATGTACCTGGCAAGCACAAGGATCCTGGTTCAGTCCCCAGTAACACATGCTGCGCAGACCCCAGAACCCCTGGGACAACTGTGCCAGCCACCAAAACTGGGTGTGGAGGCACATATGTGTAGGGGAGGCTGAGACAGGAGGATCACTACAAGTCCAATCTGCATAGTGAGACCCTGTACGAAATAACTAACTAGATAGATAGATAGATAGATAGATAGATAGATGATAGATAGATAGATAGATAGATAGATAGATAGATAGATAGATAGAATGGGACTAGAGATCATATAAAAGGTCATAAGAAGAACACTTGCCCCTCCCACCATGTGAGAACAGCCAGAAGGTCTACCAGCACATTGATCTTGGATTTCCCATCTTGGATTCCTGGAGAACTAAATTTCTATTGTTTATCTGATGCTGAGTTTAAAACATTTTGTGACAGCAGCTGCAGCAGAGTGAATCACCAGTCCTTTGTCTATCAGTGGCATGAAGGATATGGGATGCTATTTTTCTAGGGTAGCTTTAATCATTGACCTATGTCAGACTTCCCCTGCTGCGGCCTCATTGTGGGTGGCAGTCACTTCTCCGAGACTGGGCCTATCGCAAATAGATGGGCATGACCATCTGCAAGTTTTGAGATGGAAATTTCGGCAGCATGTGTTTCCACTGATGTTCCTGTGCCTCTGTTATTACTATAAGGAATAGCAATATTCCTTGTAGCAATGTTAGGAATTGCTAACATTCCTGTTAGCTTCTGATCCAAAAGGGCTGAGGGACAGATGTAGAACTCCACGATGGCTACGGCAGTGCACACAGGTTGAAACAGAGCTACCTGGCCAAACATTTTCTAGATCATTCCAACCCCAGACAACTCACAGACACACAAGATAATGTATGAATGTGGTTTATATCCCCAAGTTTGGGAGTTGCCTGTTATGCAGAAATACCTAACTAATCCATATATTTTCCTTATTTATTTGGCATCCCTAGGGTCTATTAAGCCTCCTAAAATAGAGTAGGCAATCCTTAAGCATTGGCTGTTAGAATTCATGAATAAAATAGTCTTTTTGTGCTACTAGAAATTAAAACCAAAGCTTTCACACTGATTTAAATCCTTAGCCTTTAAAACCATTTTTTTAAAACAATCTGAGACATGATGTCACACTAAGTTACTAAGTTGTTCAGACTGGACTCAAACTTGTGATCCATTTGCCTTAGGCTCCCAGAGTTCTAGGATCTCAAGCATGTGCCACCAGGTTAAGCCGATCTTCTTTGTTTTAACTAGCTCATCATAATGTCACCTACATAGCTGGCTTAAGCTGTCATGTTCATTTGCATGATTTTAGAAGAAGAAAAATTTATATAGACAAGACCAGACAATACTTTCTCTTTATAAGGGTCAGTGAGGATTTGTAGTCCTAGGAGTCAGGGTCTGGGATCACCTGGCTACCTTTGTGATCACCTGGAAGCCACAGCAGGGTGTGTCCCACCAAAGGGACTTGAGGAAGTCCAAGTCCATTCCCAACTATTGGACTCTGATACAATGGAGTGCTCCAATACCGGCAGCCCCTCATTTGGATTCCACATACATGACCACCTCTACTTATCAGCCATAGGCTACTAATGTGGAGACAGAGTCCCTTCTCTATTAATTTCAAAAGAATTATTCCAATGCATCTGAGGGAACACATGCCTTCCCAAACTGGCCTGATGCTCTTCCTGGGAGCAGCACTCTGGAAGGTGGACCATCAGGTGGAAGAAGTACTCTTAGAGAGCTGCCTTCCCAAGGGAATGGCGACAGCTTGAGCTTGACGGGGAGTCCTGTTGTACTCTGAGGTGTGAAGGGAAGGCATGAACTGTGCATATGCTGTACCATACAGTTTTGCCTACAAACGCTTGTAGCTTCATTGTAGCTGTGAATGCTCTGTTCCTCTCCTTTTCACCCTTGAAGATTCGCGAACACACAGGATTGAGCTGCAGGAGGCATAACAGTCCCCACATGGTATGTAGGAGAGGATGTAGTTCTGATGGTTCTACTCACTGGGGTGATGAGCAGCTGTTAAAGAATCTCGGAGATTGTGGCCAAACAGCCCATCCTTCCATGGGCAGCCTTTTCACCATGACAATATCAAGATTTTGGGTTTCATCAAAGGATTTTATGGGTAGTTTCCAAGGCAAAATTCCTCCTAAGGGAAGTAGACATGAAAGATATCTAACCACAGTCTACACAAACAGGGACCATCCATCGCACAAAATGAAATACAATCTATGAATCATACTCTATATGATTTTAAGACTACACTTAGGGAGGCTTAAAGACCCCAGTCTCAAACTGGTCAATGTGCTGTCTTTGCCAGTTAGGATAAGAGAGACTTGAAGAGAAGAGAAGAGGAAAACAGGAAGAGGGGGAGAGAGAGAGGGAGAGGAAGAGGAGGAGAGGAGAAGGGTGGGGAGG